CAGGCTGGGCCTGAAAGCAAACTAGCTATCGCAGTACCTTGCCATTCAGAAAGGGCAAAATCCAGACAGCTGATTGTCAAAAGGCATTTCCCTCCTATAGGAGCTAAAAGAGACCTTTCCCGGGCTGAAGCTACCGAAGCTGACACAGGAAGACCAAACACAGTGGCCAGTAGAGAACAACAGGACACGCAGGATCAGCCTTGGCTGTTGTATGCTCCCTGAGTTAGTCTTTCGGTATAATTAACTAATATTGACCTGCAAGCTAGGATTTCAACTATCACTTTTGAAAAGGGAGCAATTATGCAAACCATACATTTTGCTATTTATGGACTTGCTGGGAATAGCTGAACTGTTCTTAGGTATGAAAATATGAGAGAAATGCTACTTCTAGGCTTGTTTGTTTTTTTTTTCCTGTATTGAAATTCCTTTAGAAATAAGGAAGTGAAGAACACACAGGAATTAAGCAACTGAAAAAATAGAAGCATTAAAGAATCTATTTCTATAAATGCTTTTTATGTATTTTTATTTATAGGTAACTGCCTAACTGGATTAATTTCAGTTCAGCTGTATATTCATAAGACTTTGTCAGGATGTGTAGTATGGTGTATTATTTTTAGCCCAGGGTAAACCACCAAGTTAGTAAAAATCATTCTGGACTTCCCACTCTGCCATGCAGCAGCTCCAACTTCAGAGAGGGCTGGGGCAAGGAAAGGTAGAGACTGATTGTCGCAGTTTTCTCTAGCCAGTATCTCCCTCCCTGACTTCGTGATAGCAGAGCAGAAAGGGAGTCTACCAGGAAGAGAGTAGCAACTCATTCCTAACAATACACAGCAGACATGGCTTGCAGAAGGACTTGTGTGATTGTCGTCTTGTTTATTATCTTCATCGCTGACATGGACAGTGGGATTGAGTGCGCCCTCAGCAAGTTTGCTGATGACATCAAGCTGTGTGGTTCGGTTGATATGCTGGAGGGAAGGAATGCCATCCAGAGGGACCTTGACACGCTTGTGAGGTGGGCTGATGCCAACCTCATGAAGTTTAACCATGCCAAGTGCAAGGTCCTACACCTGGGTGGGAGCAATCCCAGGCACAGCTACAGGTTGGGCAGAGAAGAGATTCAGAGCAGCCCTGTGGAGAAGGACTTGGAGGTGTTGGTTGATGAGAAAATGAACATGAGCCGGCTTCAGTGTGCGCTCGCAGCCCAGAAAGCCAACCACATCCTCGGCTGCATCAAAAGGAGCGTGACCAGCAGGTCGAAGGAGGTGATCCTGCCCCTCTACTCTGCTCTCGTGAGACCTCACCTGGAGTATTGTGTGCAGTTCTGGTGTCCTCAACTTAAAAAGGACATGGAACTGTTGGAACAAGTCCAGAGGAGGTCCACGAGGCTGATCAGGGTACTGGAGCACCTCCCGTATGAAGATGGGCTGTTGGGGCTGTTCAGCCTGGAGAAGAGAAGGCTGCGTGGAGACCTCATAGCAGCCTTCCAATATCTGAAGGGGGCCTATAGGGATGCTGGGGAGGGACTCTTCATTATGGACTGTAGTGATAGGACAAGGGGTAACGGGTTGAAACTTAAACAGGGGAAGTTTAGATTGGATATAAGGAAGAAATTTTTTACTGTTAGGGTGGTGAGGCACTGGAATAGGTTGCCCAGAGAGGCTGTGAATGCTCCATCCCTGGCAGTGTTCAAGACTAGGTTGGATGAGGCCTTGGGTGGTATGGTTTAGCGTAAGGTGTCCCTGCCCATGGCAGTGGGGTTGGAACTAGATGATCTTAAGGTCCTTTCCAACCCTAACTATTCTATGATTCTATGATCCTATGATTCTATGATTGCTGCCTTTAGCAATGTCCAGAAAGAGGTCAGGGTGCTAAGTCAGTAGAGGCACAGGTACCCAGGAGTGCTTAGGAGAGCCTCTCAGTGTGGTCTTACCTTGTATCTCCTAGTTACACCCTAAAAACCAAGGCTTTCTGTGTGGCTCTGTTCGGTCAGTGATTGTTTCTGAGCAATACTGAAAAAATGTTGCCCTCTGCTTTGGCCCTGTTACTGTTTGATAAAGCAAGCTGCTGCTTCACTGGCATCTATCCATCACGTTGTGTCTGGAAACTGGGTCAGAGAAGACTAGCTTTTTGACGTACACTTTATAATTGTCACTCTTCATTGTGAACTGCAAGGTCACACGATTCAGTGGCCTGAGGAGAGGCATAGATGCGCTGAACCACTGCCAGAGCAGCTGAAAAAGAACTCCTATTCATTGCAGATTACATGTTTTGACCTAACTCTGACAGAAAACATACCTGTCAGCTCCATGGCAGGCTGATTAGGTTAATTAAGTCCTTGCCTATGAGAACAATAATTAGAACTGTCAGCTGTTTAAATGATGATAGAAGAAAGGGAAGATTCAAGAAGCACTGCAGTTTGCAAGTACTAACCATACAGAAGGGAATCCATAACAGAGAGTGATTTAAAATTTCCTTTCAGGCAACCACATTTATGAATAATGCTGAAGGGAGGAGAAAATTGTGTCCAGTGGGGCTTGTTTTGTTTGGTTTTTCACTTAGAGTAATGAGAATTGAGATGGTCAGTGAGTTTATAAACCAGTTTTATAGGCTGCAAGCATAACTGTTGCCTTGGGGTAACCTTAGAAAACTTCACTCTTTTCACAGGGAAGTTCAAGGCAAATAGTGTACATTTTCTCATCCTCTTAATCAAGATATGAGAAGCCATCTTGTGTAGTCTTGTAGATTTGGATTTGTCAGTAAATGCCGTGCACCAAGGTGATAGGTTATAGTAGTAGCACAAAGTGGTAAAAGGGGGAGCTGAGAGAAACAAAGCCAGAAAAGCCATATGTAAGGTTAGATAATAAGACTGCACAATCCTGAGAAGCCTCTTAGGAAGTCTGATTTTTATGTCTTGAATTTTTAGGTGTAAATACATTTGCAGGAGACCAGAGGAAAGAGAAAAAAATGTTTTACAGCAGGCCTGGAAAACATAACATGGTAGGAGCAGAGTTTAAGACAAAGACTGAGGAGGAAGAGAGGACATTCATGGTAACACCCTTCCAGTGTGCGCAGAAGGATCACTTGAATCCCACAGCAGCTGGGCGAGGGACGGGAAGAAATCATGGTGCATTGCAGCAGGAAAGAGTATGGTGGAAAACTTTAGAAGTGTTACCAGTGTTAAAGGAGGCTGCCTAATGGTGTGGCAAAAGTACCAGAAAGTATTGAGAAGATGATGATAGGTAAACATTTATTTGAGTTAATGGAGGAAGATAGCTTGCCAGCTCTTACAACTCTATCCATTGGTGACTCTGTATGGGGTTAGGATTTAGCCATGGTCAGGTTAAGATGTCAGCAAAGCACCTCTTCAAGCAAGTCAGGAAAAAAAAAACAAACCAAAAAACAATGAAACACAACAGAGGGAAGAAGATCAGGAACAGCAAGACTATTCGGGGAACTGGACTAAGAATAGTACTGATAGGACAAGGGGTAATGGGTTTGGAACTATGGGTAGATCAAGTTATCCAAGGAGTAGTGCAAAGCAGTTTGACAAAGAGCCCGAAGTCTCAATAAAGCAGTGCAGACACCCCAACAAAGTCTGTTGTAATGACAGATGCAGAATAAAATGAAAAGGTGGAGAGAAAACTAATAGTGACTGATCACTTTTTGTAGAAGGGAATATGACCAACAGCAGAGCTGAGGGAGAAGGGAATGAACAGACACGTGCAGACCTGGCTATGGAAAGGTCATTGAAAGTGATGCAAGGACTAAGGTACTGTGTCCTGAGGTACAAGAAGTCTTTATTTTAACCCTGCAGCACTAAAACCAGTTTTAAAGAATGCAATTCCATGTAAATTTTTTTTAAAAGCCCATCTGCCCTGAATTTTCTATCATGTACGCATATGCCACAAAGAAATAACGCAAGCCAAGCTTTAATTAGAAAAACCTTCCAGAAAACATTAATAACTTGCCTCTGTGAAACTGAACAGCTTCTCATCAAACTAGCTTAATCAGAGATATGCACTGTTAAGAAGTCTGTGTAACCGTAACTGATGTTTGGTTTGATTTGGACATGATTTGAGGAAGGAGAATTAATACACAGATATGAGGTTCTCAGTCATTTCCTGACATTGCTAAAGAAAATACAGTCATTGTAAAGCACAGAACATTTCTGAAGCATGGCAGTGATAACAACCTATTTCTTTTTTACCAGCACTAGATAAGTGTTCTGGGCGGCTGGCATCAGATTCTAGAAGAAGCTTATGAGTTATGTCCATCTTGAGCAGAAGTGCCAGAGCCAGTCCCATTCCCACCAACGGGGACTGTTGATGTGCGGCTTTACCAGTTAATGAATTGGGTCATTAACAGCAGTGATTCCTGTGGGCGAGGACTGCCTGTGCTGTTCTGTGTTAAGCAGAGACATCTCGAGCCACCAGTAAGTCACGCCACCTGCCTGCTGCCAGCTGTTAAACACCAGTTGTTGTGGAAACTTCACTATAGCTTTTTTTTTTTTCCTATGGGAGAGAGGCAAACAGAATGTAAATGGCACAGTGTCACACTCTGCTCTCTGACTATGGTGAAACTCAAGTGGTTTTAGCTGGAGCTCGGAAGACAAAAATCAGGGGTTTCTGATAAGCATGGCGTTTTGCTATTCAAGCCCTTCCTATGCAGGTAGAGCACCCATCTCCTTTTGCTTTTGTCGATGAATGCAGAAACAACTGTGGAGCCTCTGCTTTATAATTAGAAGACACCTAAGTAATTAAGAAATAAACAGAGACTAAGTATCTAATCATGGTAATGCCCTGAAATCAAGTAGAAAGAGAGTGTTGCTATTTACCTTCTTTTCAATGTTATCTAACTTAAGGGAGCTAGGGATATCTGTGCTACTACATGGCTATAGGAAACACTACCACTTTGTTTTTTCACTTTCTTTCCCTGCAGAGCTACATGCCAGTGGCTACCTCACAGAGTCTTTTATAAACTGCAAGTATGTGCTCAAGAAATAGTCTTTCAGGCTTCAACACACAAATAAATTACCACAGGTTCATAGGTCTCCACTTCCTGACAGGGAAGGTGCACGTGAGTGGTCTCATCCTCCTGCAAATGTGGGGAGCTGAGGCAGTTGTGGTTCACAGTGGAACAGGTAGAAGCCCCCTTGCATTTACCATGGAGAAAGGGTTTCACCACAGGCAGCTCGCAGTCACTGAATGGTGCTTTCAGTCATTTCCTCATATTGCTTGAGAAAATACAGTTGTAAAGCACAGAACAGTTCTGAAGCGTGGCAGTGATAGCAACCTCAGTTTTTTACCAACACTAGATAAGTTTTCTGGGTGCTGGCATCAGATGCTAGAAGAAGCTTATGAGTTGTATCCATCTTGAGCAGAAGTGCCACACTGGATCCTGGGGTTGAGGCCCTAAATTTTTACAAATCACTCAGCAAGTGGAAAGAAGAGTTTTAGCTGCAAGTATAGGAAATCTTGATCAAACTGGGCTACATCCCTTTTAATTCTGCAGTTTCTGAAAACTGGTAAAAATTCTTACCTTTGGCCCTACATTGGGTTCTTAAGTACCTGTTTTGAGACAACTGCATAGAAATGGAATGGCTTTCTCAGGCCTGGAGAGGTAGTGGATGCAGAACTGGGGCAGACAGGCACATGCTCACAGACCTGATGAACTCTGTAAGATTTGGATGTGGTTTTGGTGTGTTTTTATGTGTGCTTTATTATGTGCTTCTGTGTAGGGCTGCTGCTCTGGGGCTTAGCAGGGGTAACAGATCTGAAGTCAATGCATCTATCTGATTCAAAAGTACTGAGGTGCAGGGTTCACCCAGAGGAATTTTGTCTTACAAATTTCAGTGAAGACCTTGTGGTATTCTGGAGGTATTGGACAACAGCCAAGCAGGAGAAAGCACAGGGTCATTTGATGTCTTCTGGCAGGGTAGTTGCTGAAACCAATAAGGTATAATGATCAGTATATTGTATTTTATAAGCAGAAAACAGTGTAGGACCCGTCTTGTTCTGAGGAGGTAAGGGCTAATGGATTAGCCTTAGGGTCCTTTGAGCATATGTATTTCATAGGCTGATGAGGATGTCTACATTTATCTGATATAACATATGCAAGATGCTGATGACATGAATGAGTCAGGGTTAAATGGAGGCTGGCTTGTAAGAAAAAATAACAACAAGAACTGGAAGAAGCAAGCAGTAAAATCTCTGATAATAATGACAGGCTTTAGCTGCAAGATGGATATCACAACCCAGGTTTTTAATCATTTCTAAATTGGAGGTTGTTTGGTTGTGCAGTTATATTTTGGGCATAACTCTATTTATAAATAACAAAAAGGTCTTCATGCAACCTGCCAATTTATGCAGATGGACAAAGACAGCTTTGGAGTCTTAATAAATACTTTTTTTGTTTTACAATGCTACATCTGTTTTAGATAATGCAGGAATGCTGTTTAATAAGATCTTTCATATATGCTTCCAGTTTAGTATCTCTCCATAATCACTTTAGATACTTATATTAAAGAAATTAAACTAGACAAATGCTAAAGTGACAAGAGTCAGATCTGAGCAACGACATAAACCAGGGAAGCAGATTGAATCTGTAGAAATACCCTGGTCAACAAACTAATAAAATTTTCTTTTCTTCCACTGGACAAAGGGTACATTTTATTAAGCAAGCCCCTTCTGACAGCTGTGTTAATACAGTTAGATGTTGTTGCTGAGAAACTAATCAGAGAAATGTCTGGAAATAGTTTAGGTCTCCTCTTTGATTTAAAAACAGAGTGAAGTTTGAAATGCAACCATATAAAAATAGATTCAGCCTCTGAGTTGCCATTGTGAATAACTCAAAACTCATTGTTTGACTAAAATCTGATAACTTAACCAGAGTTTTTACAAGACTGCAAAACCAGTGGTGTTCTTTCTTGTCTGGTCTCACAGACATTCTTATCAGTATTCAAGACTTCATCTGATTTTATTGTTTGGAAAACCTCAGAAGAGTAAAGTTTAGAACTGAATTTCAACTGATACTATCTCATGTAACTTCTTTCACACTAGTTTATCCCAGAAGAACATGTGCCCATTTAAAATTTTGCTACATCCTAAATCCAGCAAGGCTAAATCTTTACTTTAGGAATATTTCAAGGGCTGGAGTAAAGATCATTAGCAAATATATTTAATTATGCTTATATTGACTGCACTTCCTGCCTGCCTCCAGTGACCAAGTTTTGTGTGGAAAAAAAAGGAGGAGGTAGAGATTGCATGTGAAGAACAGAATTGCTTTGAATGGGTAAAAGGGGATGTTGGTCTTGTCCCAGACATTGCAGTGGTTTGGTGCATAAAACATTTTCTCAGTGTGCTAATCCTTAATAATAGCATACTAGCATGCTGCAGTACCCGTTCTGTGCTTTATATGGCTTTACAGAGGCCTATTGTTAGCAGAGATTGATGGAGGAAGTTACTTAGGTCTACTGAGATCCACCCAGGTCAACTGTCAAGACTTGTGCAGCTGACGCTTACAGTAGGGGAAAAACAGGTTGTAAATGGCTCCTCCATGGGCTTCTGGAAACCAGCACTAGCCTTTGGCTGCATGGAGCGTGTTCTTGACAGGGCATACTCACTGTGGAGGCTGCCGGCAGTCTCCGGTTGTGGGTGGGGATGGAGGGAGCCCCATGCGAGTGCCAGGAGCTGCGAGGGAGGGCTGCCATTCACACAGCCCAGCTTGCCCCTGGCCTCCCTGACACATTTGGCACACGGTAACAGTGTAGCTTTTGTTCCTATCAGTGGCACTTTTAGTCAGCACGCGTTTGGGAAGTCAGCTTGCTTCAGAGACAGTCACTTTGGTTGGGGGAGCTCAGGAGTCCTAGAAGAGGGAATTCCCTCCTTCCCACTGTCATTTGCAGGTTTCATGATCCTTGCATTGGGTACGTAATACTGAAGATCACGAGTGTTTCTTATGAATAACCCATGCAGAAGTGAGGCACACTGAATGTGTGCTAGCATCTACCTACGCATATATATGGAACTAAATTGCATGGAAAAGACCATGTGAAAATCAGGATTTAAAATGTAATTAACCCCCCTTTCCCAAAAGTGTAAAAACCCTAAAACTATTAAAAACAGGAAAAAAAAAAAAGTTTTCTGTGAGGGTGCTGAGGCCCTGGCACAGGGTCCCCAGAGAAGCTGTGGCTGCCCCATCCCCGGCAGTGTTCAAGGCCAGGTTAGATGGGGCTTGGAGCAAGCTGGTCTAGTGGAAGGTGTCCCTGCCCATGGCAGGGGATTGGAACTGGATGAGCTTTAGTGTCTCCTCCAACCCAAACCGTTCTATGACTTATGAAAATTGGACCCAAGCAGGAACAGCATGGAAGAGATGAGACCATTGCAATGACAGCTCTACAGGGACCTTCTTGTGTGGTCTCACAAGAAGGTCCTTCTTGAGACAGTGCCTTTTGCAGACAGTGCCAGTTGCCAGCCCTGCTCTGCCATTAATCCCTCCTCTGTCTCTGCTTGGCTTCTCTTCATCCTAGACATCCTGCTGTCCACATCAGTGGGGCAGGTGCTATGAGCACAGCCTTGAAACCTGCTGCTAGAATGTGTTTGGCAGCAGGCATGAGTGACTGTGATGGAAACATCTCTGAGGAATATGAAAGGAGCACAGAGAAGTCTCTGATCTCTCTGCATACAAGGAGGTGAACTGTTGGCCAGTTGAACAGACTGAAAGTCTCCACGGGGCTTCAAAATTGTCCCTCTCCTCAACAAATGACTATGGGGAGGAAGTCAAGGGAGCCAAACCTGAGGATGACTGTTTGGATAGGAATGGAGCAGAGGCTGATATCTCATGAAGCAAAGTCTTGATCACTCTGATCTTTAAGCTTTTTTGAGCATCACTAGAGAAAAGAACTATTTCTTATCTGGCCAAATCACTCTTCCTACCTGTAAGTCCCTGTCTGGGTTGAATTGGCCATCATGGGGCTAGGCAGGTACTGCAGTCCTCACTGCCCATGGTGGTGGGGTTTCTGTGTGTGGTTTCAGGTCTGTTGGGAAAACAATTTCTACTGTAGGCAACACAGACAAGTGCACACACAGGCATATCACGAGTAACATGATGTCATATTCAGTTCTTGCAAACTGTTACTGTCGCAGTGGACTTTCATCGTATGGCAGACTACAATACATTCATTTTTTCTTGCCACAAAGTCAAAACAATAAAACATGCTCTCTCTGACGAGCAAAGAAGCCAGATGTTCAGAATAATTTTTGAAGCACGAGCAAATTCAAAGCCAAATTAAGCAAGTATGTCTTGACATAGTCTTTTCAAGGTCTGTTTTCCCTTTCTGAAGTCTCTCAGCATGAAAAAATAAAAATCTAGCTGGGTGGTAAAACAAAACTTGGTGATTAATTATAACCTTTTCTCAGGGGTATTTCATTGCTGGGAATCATGTCACACATAACCCTCAACTGGCTCTAAGCATTATCCATATTCAGTAAAATATTATAAAGATTTCTCCCTACATTCAATGCCTCTTATGATTTAAATAATGTCAAGGACTCAATTCTGCTTCCTTATTTAGAATTTAAGTGCCATATTTGAAGGACACTATTGGCTACATTTTAGGTATGAAAGGCAGAGATTAACACAGGACATCTCAAACTTCCTCATGACAATATTGGATGGGTTGTGACTTTGCATGAACATTTGCTAATTCAATTTTTGAGAAGTGCAGTTTTTTGGTGAACAGCATGCATATTTGTACATGCAAACATGGTAACTCCACTCCCACAGGTAGGTAAGTTCTTGAATATGGTTTTGTATAAACCCCATAGAAAAAATTTGCTCTTGTGTTCTGCAATCCACACATTATGAAAACACCCACTTTTCTAAGTCTAGGGGCCTTTCCAGGAAGAAAATTTAGCCAGATTGTCAGTTTGGGGGTATATAATCAGTCTATACTTAACAATGTTTTAGTATTTATCTTCTCTGACATAGTATTTGAGCATGCATTGCACACTGCAATGCATACAGATGCATGCTCATTGTATGCCTCTATATGCATTGTACCACTACTGTACAGGAAGGTGCTTATTATAATCTATAAAAATTCTTATGAACTTGGTTTTAGTCTGGTTTTGATTCATTGGTTTGCATTTAGGAACACAAGTACAGAAGCTTTGCAGGATGTAGACTTTGGAAAGTAGCACAGTTTGTTGTACCTGTATCTACTGCTATTGAGTATTAACTTCTTAATAATGAAGTCTTTCAAATCAAAGTGACACAATAGCACACTTGCATCTTGTGGCTTGGCTGAACACAAGATGATAGAAATAATTTCTTTTATCCTTTTGCCCAATGCATTGACTTTGATCTCTATGTATGGACAATTCTCATTACACTACACTTTTCTTAAATATAAACTCAGTACACATATCTTATGTGTATTTTTGGCTATTCACTCCCTCTACCACATCAAAAGTGCCGATCAATTAGATATGGATTCTTTTGTGTAAAGGAGATCAGGACAAACTGTGCTTTCCTTTGTTTATATCAACCAAAATCCTTTCACAGATTACTTTTCATTAAGCTCAAATCCATAATATATTGTAGCAGAACTAAAAGCTAATCTGATAACTTTGCTGTATCTCCATTCTTAAATAAAGTACAAAGACACTGTCATTTTGCAGCAATACAGCCCTTCCCACCTTAGAGAAATAAGGTGTCTTTTCTGAGTGTCTTAAGAGGAAGAAGGTTGTACTCACAAGCTGGAATGAAGATTGACCACTACTGTGGAGCCTCAGTTTTGAGGCACTAAGGATATGCTTTCTTCCCGTGTTCAGCTTTATACAGTGCTAAAAGTAGCAGTGATTTCAATACAGCTGTGAATACTCAGCATTTATTTCAATTGGGTCTGAAGGTCTCAAGCCAGGCACTGAATATCAGACCATCTGGAAGATGTTATGCTAAAGTGATTTGACTCTAGAGCAGAGACGAGGAAAAATCTGTTTTTCCAGAATGACCCTAAAGCTGAGCCCTGCCAGGCAGGTGTCCTGTGGGGAAACTGTATATGATCAGTAACTGAGGACTGCATCCTGCGTTGTGGAAGGGCCTGAGGAGAAAGGGAGTTAAGGTCTCATAGCCTGTTTGGGCATCTCAGGCTTTGGATGTTTAACTTGTTCTTCTAATGTAACTCTATGTGTTCTGGAGGAGCAGTGATGATCAAAAATGCCTTGCAAAGTCTGACCATGAGTTTTGAGAGCGTAGGGAGTTCTGATTCTGGCCCTGGAGGGTAAGGGACATGACCACGTACTGTTCCTCCCCAGTGTGACCCTTCTGTGTTGTCACCCCTCACTTGTCTTCAACCTTCTTCCCTCATTTAGACAATTTGTATATGCAGTCCTTATTTTTGTCAACCAGATCCCAGGGTGGGACTTAGAGACTCGATATTACCCAAGGAAGCCATGGTTAAGACCACAAGGAAAATCCTGCAGAGCTTCAGACTAGACACACATGGTAGTGGGCAAAATCTTCAGTAGAAAAAGTGCCGAAACATGTGAGGAGCTATCAAGCATGTGTAAACTAGATTTGACTGGTCTCTAGCTTTGACAAAAAATCACACTTCCTGCCAAAGCATTGTTGACTTACCTCTGTAAAAATTCAGGTGATACTTTTCCTGCCTTTCCAGAGCTTCAGAGTTTAAACCTTCCCAGAGAACATTTCAGTCATGGCACAGTTATTTTTGGATATTCAAAATAGTTTATTTCAGAATGAGAATTCTAGGAGTAAAAATGGTCCGGGTTGAGGTAAGGTCCACAGCATAGAAAATTTCAGCCCAGCATGTAAAGTTTGCCTGCAACAGAAAAGGGATACCCCTTGCAAGATGAATCCTGGCAAACCATGCTTCTGAAATAATTGATCCACAGAAGAGCAACCACAGGAGCTGCTGGATGCCCATGGAAACACCGAGCAGCTCTTTCCGTGCCCAACACGGTATTCCCTTGTGAAAGTAGGAAGGGATTAGCCAAGCAGCCAGAATTTAGCCAGAAATGCACCAGGGTTAGCACACCCTTTCATTTTTCCTCCTTTTTTCACCTTATGGAATGGGCTCTTTCTTGACCAGCAGAGGTCAGGGCCTCCCAGTTCAGCCTCTCCCCGTGGCACCCGGGCGCAGGGAGGCTCCGGGGGAGAGCTCAGCAGCCTTGCGCTGGCACCCGGGTGCAAGAGGGGGATTTAAGAGAGAAAGATACTTCATCTGTGAAAGCACAGCACAAAGGGATGTGGCTACTGCCTGTTCGGGGACCGCTCTGTCCTTCCTGCGGGGTGAGAAGGGGTCACTGCTGCATTCCGTGTCACAGGGTCCCTGGGGACCACAGCTGGGCTCACACAAATAGCAGCAATCTCTGCCATGGGGGGCCTCCACAACCCTGCTGGACAAGGGAGAGGAAATGACTGTTTCGGTGTCACCCAGTAGGTTAGAAAAGGGTTAGTAGGTTACTAGAAGGATGTCACATTATTCTATGGTTCTGTGTTTTTCTGACAACACCTTTGGGAAACCACCACCTCGTTCTTTGGGGTGTTTGAGGGAATCAAAAAGCTTTGGGTTAAATCCTCTAATAATGCTTCATTGGGCTGATAGTACTGAGAACGTTCACTGAGAATTTTAGGTAGACAGGTCTCTACTTTAAACTTAAATTCATCAAAATCCAATTCTATTGCTCTTTTATTCCTTCCCATTGCTTCCTTCCCATTTCTACCGTTCAGTTGATGTTATTGGAATAGTCATTTTTTACTTCCTTCTTTACACAGGACAGCTGGTTGGTGCGAAATCTCTCACTTCATTTTGCTATGCTGTGCACAGAACAGAGTCAGTGACTGTTATACTCATTTAAAAGAAATACAACAATATACTGGGAAGCTGTTTTCAATACGGAAGGAACACCCTTGGCCTAAGCCACCTACAGTTTAAGATATTCCTTCCAATACCAAAACCTGTTAAATTAAAAGTTATCACTGAACTTTTTCTGTTCTGACTTTAGACCAGTTTTGAACTGTAAAACTAGCCAATCTAATCTAAATAGCCTTTTCAGTATTAGAAGATTGCTTGATCTTAATTTTTTTGTGCTGATGCTTAGGCAAATAATAAATAATTTTTTGAACTTTCTTTTTCCTGTGGCAGTTTTCCTGAGTACACATTTACTGCTGCTTGTAGAATAGTTAATAAAATAAATAGATATCCAACTATATGGAATCACAGAATCATAGAATAATTGGGGTTGGAAATTACCTTAAGATTGTCTAGTTCCAACCCCCTGCCATGGGCAGCAACACCACACACTGAATACATGGCACCTTTTAACAACTGTGTTGTCTTCCTAGGTTTCTATAGAATAAATGGCTTGAGCTGCAAACAAAAGTCTTTAAAAGTAGTTTCTGATTTTTTCTGCATTTTTCATATTTTAAATTCATAATGTAGCCAAGAGTGAAGTTTTTTAAGTACATTTTTCACACTTAGACTAAAATCCAACCATATAACCTTAGAAAGTCAGCTTTTGTGTATTGAGAGAAAACAGAGAAGGAACTTGATCCTGGTCTGTAATTGACAACAGTGGGAGAAAATATTTAAATCTAGCAGGATTCGCAATCAAGAGGCAAATTGAGCCCAGTGATTCAAAGGTGAGTCTGCAGAAACTAGAAACTTGCGGATATTTGTAAAATCACAAGAACCAGCCTGTTGGAACAGTGTACCGAGGGGTACAGGAGGAAAGCAGGGAGCTTTCAAAGCATCCCTACTTCAAACCGTATTTGACGCTTTCAAACCATCCCTGCATCTGTCAGGGATGGGCAGGGTCCACCACCATGCAGCTCTGGAGCTGGTGGGCAACTTGCATCTACTGCACTGTGCAGGTCTCAAGGGGCAGTCGGGTGCTGTGACACCCCATGCACTGGTTCAGCATTGGCCTTTGAATGCCACATGAGCCCAGGCTGTGTCTCCATTCCCAGCTGAAATCTGGGTGGGAACCATGGAGGTGAACATGATGAGCAGGAAACAAGAAAACATGTGGAATTAATCAGTTCCAGTGAACTGGGATTTTCTCATTAAAATGTGTTCAGTCAGGCCCATGGAGCGGAGAATGGCTGCCATCCCCAAAATTATATCCTGATTCTCACAAAGCCTGTTTATTCAGGAAACAAAACTGGATGATGGGTCTTTCCAGCTTCCACATGAATTCCTGGTGCTTGTTTACGTTTGTGGCAAGTCTGGATGGTTTCTTGATTTCATTAGAAAGCAAGAAGCAGCTCTACAATTTTAAGTGGCCTATGCTCAAAAATGCTTTGCAAAGGCTTAGTTGTGAAAATATCAGTAGGATTCTGTTTTGAAAATAACAAGTTCAGTTACACTTTTTCAGCAGTTGTATCATTTAAGTAAACTTTTAGCACACTTTCTGCATTCAGAGTCATATGTTAAGGTCAAAGATTTGCTGTTTTGCTCCTTCAGTGAAAAGATAACATAATCACATATTATTAATCCATGCACTTTTTACGTCAAAATTAGTAAGAAAACCAAGACAAGCTGTTTTTTTAATGTGCGGGTGAAACAGCTGGTTTAATTGTGCTTACATGCTAACTGGAGTTAATGGGGTTGAACAGGTTATTCTGACATAGGAGTACAGCAGCTTGGTATATTTCCACAGAAAAAGACCAGAATATTTTTCCAGCAAGCTCAACACAAGTATATTGTGTTTTAAATCAGGGATCCACAAACTGTGAAGGAAAAAAATACAACTCTGAGGGACCTGCATGATACTACAAAGTTTATGTCAAACAGATTTGCCTGTAGGTTTTTGGACTTTTGTTGTTTATTCCAATCTTCTTTCTTTACTCTTAAGTTTATGTTAACTTATGAGTTTATGTCAATTTATGAGTTTATGTCATAAGTTAATTTGAAAGTATTTGGTGATATATGTCTATCCCAAACAGCAGCATATATCCAAAACCTCACAGGCAAGGTGCCTCATGAATCATGTCATGTCATGTAATTATGTCATCCTGCAACCCATGTTGCAGGGCATGGCTGAGGGGGGTTAAAGATGCCTCCAATGCTGGAGCTGCAGGACAGGGAGGGATGCATTTAGCCCCATGTTCCCATCCTGGAAGCAGCCTCTTTACTGAGGATGGCCAGATGTGGAAGTCCTGAGATTAAGTCACCTGGGACAGCATCTCTGTGGGCACATCTGTCTTAGGTTTACAACAGTACGTTGGGGCCCTCCGGCATGGAACTCCAGCAGGAAGACCAGCATGGGGTTCCTGACACTCCATGTTGAGGAATAGCTCTCTTTCTGGGGCAGTCTGCTCTGGGGCTTGGGAGGTGCAGAAGTCCAGACTGAACCCCTAAGGCCACCTGAGCTCCAGTCTGCCCCAAATGCTCTGAATGCCTTTGTTTACCCAGCCCAATAGCTGTGACCTCCCTGCCAGATTAAGGGCAATGTGCACTGTAGGTTCACAGCATTCATGGGCAAAGGAGCACCTGATGTTTTGTCTACCCTCTGCCCTGCTCTGCAGTACCCTGCTTTATGCCAGTCACCACCTCTTGTGCTTTCAGCCTGTATCACTGTCTTGCCTTTAACCTGTCTCTGCTTTCATTGCTTCTGAACACTTTTCCCATTTTTGTTTTAGCCAATGCTGACAATTATCAGTTCCACATGAATACGTTTAGGCCTCAATCATATCTGTGTTACCAGAATGTCATTAGCATTGTGTTGAGCACTTCATAAATCGTGGCCTCAGCTATGTCCTCACTGACACTGATGGAAATTAAATATTATTTTGGGGTATTTGTCAAAGATGCAGAAGTTTGAAGCCTTTGAAAAAACATGCTGAAACACAGCTTGTGATTTTACACAGAGCTCTAATAGAGCAAATATCTAAGATTTTTCTGTTGTGAGCTCAATTGGTAAAATCTCTTCTGACTAAAAAAACCTTGAGAAATGCTTTCTAAGTCCAGACAGCCACCTTCAGTGCCGGTGGCTGCCTCAGAGCCTGTTGAGTTCAGCAGAAGTGGCAGTGGTGCCTCTGAGCGCTGAGCTGCGCAGTCCCGTTGAAACGGCATTTGTGTTCAAATGTCCGTGCTTATCAGTTGCTGGGCAGTTTGTTCAGAGAAAATAAAACCTAGGAGCTGGGGTGTGAAACGTGAGCATCTGAGGTGCTGTTTCTGGTAGGACACACTGCTTCAGTCGTGAATAAGAGCAGGGTTGTTATGTGGGGAAGCAATCTGTTCCTCTAGCTATGGATCCTCACTCTTTCATGGTGAGCTCTCTTGGCTTCTTTTTAAGATAATCAGCAATGTAGCTCCTTTTTATTTTGACCAGAATTCAAACATCTGCTCCTGACAACTACAGGGAAAGTAAAAACATAACCATATTCATAACCATAAAATGTTCATGATGAAAAAGTCACATACAGTTTTCTCTGCAAGGCATTTAGCCCGGATATGCTGCTTTAACTGCTATGCTGCACTTACATATACAGCTAAGAGCAAGCCCTCTTGTCATGCATTTGTGCACAAACATCCCACACTGCCTCTTGTAACAACAGCCACATTATGCTTCCTTGCACAAAACCAGCTGTCAGTTTAGATTTCCTTAATCCTGCCAGATTCCAACTCAGCCAGCTAACAACCATTATCTATGGGAAACCCTTCTGCGAAATAAAGCAATGTCCTTACTGAAATGACATGTCATAAAAATTAGTTTGGTCACCAATCCAATGAAATATATTGTTTAAGTTTGAAAATTACAGACTTATGGTATCATATTCTCTGGTGCTACAGATCTCAGAAATGATGAGCACAAC